TTGATACAACCACCAAGTCTGGAGTAGGAAGATTCGATGACGCCACCAGGCCTACTGTCATTTGCACCACGACCATGCAAGAGCCCGCAGGGGGGTTCCATGCAACCGTCAGGAATGACGTCAGTAGTACCACGAGATATCACGAGCATGCCAGGGTAGTGAACACTATGGAAAGAGTGGGGAATGCAACAAACAAGCATACTGACAGCCGTAAAATCCTCCTGCAGTGTTCAGGGAGGAGTAGGGAAGGCATAATGTAGCCACCAAGAATGAAGTTGTTGGTACCATGGCCAAGCAATTCAGCGAGCTGACCAAGCGCAAGTCAAGTCACCTATGAAATCCTATGAATGAACATGTGAGTTCACGAGCAGATCCCGTCTTTTTGTAGTTCTTGGAATGAGATTCCTGCAGAATGATCAACTTCGATTTCCCTCCTCCCCCGAGAAAAATGTAAGAATCAATGTTGACCAGCTTTCTAAGCTGCTGATGAAGCAAGAGACAACTCAAGCCAGCAAGCTAGCTTTCGCGATCAGGCAGGAGGGTCGAGAGCGCATCCACTTGCATGTCCAGCGCACATGCTTTTTGAGGGCCCGGTCCAGTGCGCATCTTTCCTTAAGGATGCTTTCAGGTTGTGCCACTTGCACGGCTCAGACGGCATAGCAAGATTTCAATCCAGTGCAAGCAAGGTCCATTCAAGGCAGGTCTGCATTTTCAGTTTTAGGATTTGGTTGAAATTCTTTCAGGGTCCAGGGGCTAAGGATTTTGGATTCAGGGTCTACCCATCCAGGCTTGGGCCAAGGCTTCCGGCACTTGGAGGTTTGACTTGAGTGTTTGCGGCTGGTGGTCCAAGGGCAAAGGTTACGGCATGCGCATCGCACAAAAAGGCACGGTTCGTGGCGGAGTCCCCTCACAACTGTCCAAAAGTAGGAGGAACCATCAGCCAATGGAGCCCTGCCCTACATGTCAAGGACCCTCAATCCACCCCATCACGATTCCATGGTTTAGCTTTAGGGCCCAGGGCTTAGGAGTTACGGCTTAGGGTGAAGAATTTAGGCAAAGGGTTCAATGAGGCTGAAGGCCCTTCGGTGTGTAGGCGTGTTGCGAGTTTGCGGCTCAGGGTCTAGCCAGCCAGGTACTGATTTAGTGTTGTAGGGCTTCAGGCTTAATGGTTCAGGGTTTAGGAGTTAGACACGCGCATCGCACAGCAGTGCAGGCACGGAAGAAGATGTCCGGTCCAGAGCCAGTACTGTGACTGGGCAAAAGAGCAACTAGTCTAGCACCCGCACTACATCAGCAAGCTAGTGGCAGAGCTATACAGGCACTCACTCACATCATCCAATGCAGGATCCCAAACTTGCGCCAACACCAGAAACAAACAGTAACAACAGTCGTCTCTTCCTCTCACAAAAACAGGGTATGATCCACCTGTGTCACACTTGCAGCCACCACCATCAGTTGCATCACCAATTGCACATGCAGAAGGAATCCAGTGTTTTGGGTTTAGGAGTTAAGGCTCAGGGTTTTTTGCCACTTGCATGGCCGAAGCAGCGCAACTCACAATCCGGGTTGAAGTCGCAAGCGGAAGGATGCCAGACCACGCCCAGTGCACCCAGTACATTACCACAACCCAGTGAGCTCAGCATCCGTAAAGGCTGCGGCTAGGCTACACCTGACGTCCACAACGGCACAGCTTAGGTTGAAAGTCTTTGAGGGTTTGGACGGATGGAAGGTGTTTGGTTCAGGCTCCAGCCACCCAGGTGTGGGTATAGGCACGGTATAGAGTTCAAGGGTCTCATGTTTGGGGTTGCTGGTCCTCAGTACTATCAGTCGTAGCAGTAGTAGTAGTAGTAGTAGTAGTCGTAGTAGTCGTAATAGTGGTAGAAATAGTAGTAGTCGTCGTCGTCGTCGTACGAGTAGTGCTGTAGTAATAGTAGTACTAGTAAGAATAGGAGTAGCAGTAGTAGCAGTCGTGCTAGTAGTAGTAGTAGTAGTAGTAGTAATAGTAGCAGCAGCAGCAGCAGCAGTAGTAGTGGTAGTAGTAGTAGTAGTAGTAGTAAGCTCATGGCTCGAGTGAGTCCACAGTGGCCCTCTTGTAGTACTAGAAGGCCTGTTGATCGCTGCCCATGCCATGGTCCCGGCCTGCTTGAAGGGAAAGCTTAGCTTGACTGCACTTTTACTTTCAGGCCTTTTGCTGAAACACCTGCACCAAGTCCCCTGGAGCTCCGACGTAAGTCCGACTTCGAGAATGAGCATATGTTGTAAATTGCAGATTGCCTTGCAAGTGATGAGC